AATGCTGAGCGCAAAGCCTTATCAGAAGCATGTTTTCACCTTGTCGACAGATTCGATGGCTTCTGTGAGAAGCTTGAAGTTCTTAGGACCTCTTCTTAAGGCGTGGGTTATAGGTCGTGTATGTCGTGCACGGTGTGGTGTGGTGTGGATCTACGATAAAAATTAATAAGGTCAAGTAAATTTCTTAGCTGCCCTGTGGAGGTAGGTTGCGTGTACCGATTGATGATATCCACCCCGTTAGGCAGTGGCCATATTCCTTTTGTATTAATCGTATTTCCCAGAAGCTTGATGGTCCCAACTCCAAAAACACATTTACCTTGGCTTGTTGCCATGTAACTGTCGCTCAGTTTCCTAAAAACTGCACGCATGTGATCCTCACGCCAGTGCATATCCGGCATGACAGTTGTTAAATCATTAGTGTAAATCTCGCAGGAGGTCTTCCGTATACCGGTAAAAGTGTGCGCAATATTCCGAAGGTCAAGCAGCATCCGCGCAAGTGAGGTTTTGCTACATGTATCTGATGTCGGCCACATAAGACTAGACCCGACTAGAATAGGCAGTATAACTGCTCTGATGCGTTTTCCGTCGATGCGAAGTTCTTAATGAGCGTGGCTGAATAGTCACTGGCTCTGAATAGTTTGCAACTGTGATTTGCTGCTGATTTCCCCAGATGTTGAGTGCCGTAACTAGTTTTTAACCGTGCATGACTTGGATAACTCATGCGGTCGAGAGAAAAACTTTTAAATTTGTGATAGAGGTATTAAGTTCACATCGAAATGTACTGAGCAGGCTTCGTTGCTGACACCATATTAAACATAAAAGATTCACAATGATATTACAGTGGACCCAAAAGCAATTATCAAAACGAATGAATTCGATCCTACAGCCAACAACTAACAGTGACACAAAGGTAACCAACAATCCATAGGAGTGGAAATATGGTCAGAAAGTCAATAAGTACCTTCAGCATATCCAAAAAAGCGTTAACCGAATGCAGCTTTATTGGGTATGACGTACTGGAAATTCATTCTCTGAAACATGACCTGGACGGTCGAATGATATGAGGACGGCAGTGCTCGAGAGATGCCGTCGTTGACTAGATCTTTTAAGCGTTTAAGGAGAAGGGAGACGGAAGAGAAAACTACTAATTACTCTTTCTACCGCCTCCGTAGTTAGGAAGGACAGCTTCAAGGGCGTATGTCTCTTCGTCGTCCTCAGCCTTATGCGAGATCTAGTCTCTCTGTGAAGGGCTTTCAGGAAACACTATGGACATTATCCTACTGCCCACTTCCTTTGCACTCGGTCAGAATGTCTCTGAAGACGTTTCAGGAGGGTAAACACGTCTGGACCAACGCCACCTACGCAGAGTGCAGGTTTTTGTGTCAAGCATTCAGGCCTTAGTGCTGATTTCTTGAGCAAGTGGAACACATGTAGTTCATCTGACTCATTCAAAACAGAACTGAACATATATAGCGATCAATGAGAGAAGAAAAAAATACAGACTCATGACCTTCTACACCCAGACTACAAATGTGAATTAGATAGGGAAAAAATCGAAATATGAAGTAGGTGAATCGGAAACGCTTTGAAGGATAACAGCAAGAGTAGTTAGTGGTTTTTACAGCTTTCCCTATGTGAAGTGAGCAGATGACTCTCCTAAACATGAACTGTGTTACCTCTGGTTTAGATAAGACCTCATACTCGACTGCCGTATGCTAAGCTACGGAGTACGTGACAACTTATTAAGCTTTTTCGTATTTTTAGGAATTATTAAAAAACATGCGCTAGAGGTGTTGGTTTAGTTTCAGTGGACTTTCTGCATCTGGAGACCGTCTTCTTGAATCATATTATAAGTGGAATATTGTCGAAATATGTCATCTGAGCACTTTCTGTTGACAGTCTAAAAACGGGACCAAATGACCACTGTGTGGAAAATAGTGTTGAAAGTGCAAGTCACTTGACATACCATCTAAACTTAGGAAATAAAAGGCATCTGAATGTGAGGCAGCAGACATTTTCCTGAGTAAGCCGACCCTCTGGAAAGATAAATACCCATGTCTAGTTGCAGGAGATTTCAATGCACAATCAGTTGACCGGGACAGACTAACAACAAAGGCACCACATAATTCGTTTGACCACCGGTTAATGGAAACATCAATTTCCTCAGCCCCCATACAGCACATTAGGACACCAACCAGATACTGTCATCAGAATGCTCCATCGGTTCTAGACTTAGTATTCTCACATACAGGTGATGTTTGCTTCATCCGGCACCTAGCACCCTTTGGTAAAAGTGATCACGCTATGATCATCTCCAGATTCACAGCAGACGTCTTGTACCAGGCCGATGCCCTAGCCGAACCCAACATATGGAGAGCCAATATGGAAGCAGTTGACCTGGCCACCTCCTCGTAGGACTGAACAGTCATTCCAGAAGCCTCAGCTGAGGGTGCGCGGTGCTTCTTTAGACAGTTACATGCGCCAGTGACCCAATCGTTCACTCCGTGGATTATCCCGAGGAAATAAACCACGAAATCCGAATCTTGCCACGGCGTAAGAAAAAGCGTTGGGGTCTTACCACCCGACTCGCTACACCCGAAGTGGTGAAGGACTACAAAGAAGCCCGCAGCAAATATATCGCTGCTATCCGCTGGTTTCGAATATGCTTTAAAACACGTCTTGCCCAGGCTGCACGGCAACATGCAAAGGTCATTTTCCTATGTGAACTATAGAAATAAGACGTGTCGTGGTATGCCCGCCCTAACTGAGGAGACCGAAAATGAATGTTTGATAGAGGGCTATAGAGAAAAAGCAGAAGCCATGGCTGGACATTTTGCCGGGGTCTTCACACAGGATCCTTCTGTGGACAGTCATCCAACAGTAGAAGCATTGACATCCGATAGAATAAACTCTACGGATGTCGATCGCAGTGATGTAATTGGACGTCAAGTACTCTCGATGTGAAAAAATCAACGGGACCGGGTGAGCTGCGCCCGAGGCTGCTCAGCAAGCTTGCACTCTTTATGGCCGGCCCATTGACTACGATATTCAGACTGTCTCTCAGTGAAGGCACACTCCCTTACGACTGGAAGGATGCCGTAGTAACACCTGTCCACGAGGCAGGTTCCAAGCAGCACCCATCAAAGCGCCGACCGATAAGTTTGACCGGTACTATAGTGAAAATCTTTGAAAGAGTAGCCAAGAAAGTCATCACAGTCCACCTAGAGAGCAACAATTGTCCATTGTCTATCTACTGCCTCGTTCACGGAACGGTTCTCGTGGAAATTTCCCTTGCTTGATGAACCTCTTTACGGTCAGAGAAAGTTGTGTTAATTCTTAAGATGATGGGATACCTGTGGATGTCATTTTCATGGACCTCAGTAAGGCGTTCGACAAGGCGCCTCCTCCCAGGTTGCTCGGGAAACTGGAAAGTTTTGGGATCACTGGCAGTCTGCCCGCATGGATAAGAGACTTCCATGTTGGTGTGAAACGAAGGGTTAGGATCGGTTCTCAACTCTCCACTTGGAAGTAGGTAGAGAGTGAAGTGCTGTAAAGCGAAGGTCTGGGCCCTATGCCGTTTCTTCTATACGTAAATGAACCGCCGAATATCACCAAATAACCCACGGTTCCCTACGCTGATGACGTAAAAGTCTGGCGGGCAATTAGGAACGATGGGGAATGCGTGCACTTCAGACAGACCCGAACAGCTTGTTTACCTGGTCAAAGAAGTGGCTGATGCCTATCAATGCAGACAAATGTGTGAGCATGTACCTGGGGTGCACACACAGCAACACCTACGATGTTAACGGTACTTCTCTATCGTCAGTACTGGCCCAAAATGACCTGGGAGTTATGATAAATAAATAAATAAATAAATGTTTTATCCTCGCGTTAAAAAAGATTTTAACATGAGAGAAGCCAGTTTACAGGCTTCATCACGTTGATACATCTCAAAATATCTGCAAGACTTGAACCCTGAGTGGTACTGACGGAATGTGATTAAACTCAATTAAAAACTGCCGAAGGTCCCGCTGGTTATGGAACCAACACGGAAATATTAATTTACAGCGTACATAGAGTGTTATAGTTTAGATAATAGTAAATATTGTCTTCATTTAACAGGTTTAACATGAGGGATACCAGTTAACAAGCACCGTCAAATTCACAACTTTTGAAAGTATCCAGTATTAAATAACTTACATATCAAGTCACTAGTGTGCATAACCTTATTAAAATTTACTGAATCTCTGGGCATTGCGCAGAACGTTTGCGAAGATAAGTGGTTACATGTTCATCCTCTTATACACTTCTTCAGTTAGGTCTAAATTAGAAAACTGTACACAGGCGGCTGATCCTTGTCTGAAAGGTGACGCAGACCTTCTAGAAAGAGTTCAGGGGCGGCCACTCGTATAGTCCCTGTGATAGCTGGCCTTACCTATGAAGACCAACTTAAGGAGCTGAACCTCTTCACTTTGTCCTATCACAGACAGAGGGGAGCCCTAATCATGCCATACTGGATTCTAAGAAATGACCACGGACCTGATCTATCTTCTCCTTTCCTTCCCACTAGGTCAGGACGCCTCAGGGGACAAACTAGGAGACTACGAAAACAAAGAACAAATATGGTTTCCACAGAGTACTGGTTCTCTCGTCGAGTAGTCAATGTATGAAACCGACCCCCAGACGAAGTGATGTCCGCATCATCAGTTGAATCGTCCAAAAAGGGATGGAACAAGCACAGAAATCAAGCTGAAAAAAGGTAATATTGGCTTCCAGCTTCCAATACTCAAGCAACAAATCCAAATCTCTGGACATATGGTTTACTCAGTAGACATTGAATATTGAAATGATATGTATAAAAGAAGCTGATCAGACCGCAGACTACAATCCTCTTCTACAGAGCAATGATTTTCCGCGTGGTTATTGTACTTTCTGTCCTCTGCGCTTGCTCTGCAAAGTTTTTCACTTCGAAGGGCAAAGAAGACGACAGAATTCATGACATGCCAAGTGCAGAGCACCAACCACTCTTTAAACAATACTCTGGATACTTGAGTGGCCTCACTGATGACATCCAGCTACATTATTGGTTGGTCGAATCCTACAACAACCCTGAGAAGGCACCTCTTATTTTGTGGCTAAATGGTGGACCGGGATGTTCGTCTCTTGATGGTCTGATGTCAGAGAATGGCCCATTTACTGTGAGTATTTCAGCTATATCTTTACTTTTTGCATACTAAGATATCAATGTTTGGCGATTATTCGAGTTATGAAACACATGTCCATGATATCAAGCATAATGATTTCATTGTATGTTTTCCATGTAGTTACCATACATACTCAGTAAACACTTATATCTAAGTAACTGTGTGATGTCACAAGTCATCACAAAATATAATACACATATATGTGGTTATTGTTCATGTTTGCTGAGGATCAATTTTGCTATGACTACACGTCTTATAAATTGATAAACATATGTGAAAAGCTTCAGTTGCCTAAAGGTTACAATGTACTATTATTTTGGATCGTAACGTACAACAACCTCTGAGTCGTTTAGCTCTGCTACACAATGTTGAAGTGGTTCAATCATGGGCTCGTTACTAGAGTTCATGTTCGCAGTTTTGTTTCCTTTTTTCTTCGCTGTAGTTGGTTCACCGGGTTTATGTATTAGGTATTATGTCGTTTCAACTTGAAGGGTAGCCTTATCATTATCTCAACCAAAAATGGCGATTTATCTCGTGTTAACAATACAAAATTCTGTCGAAACAATTAGTGAAATATAGATATGTAAGAAAAGACAAGAGGTAACCACAAAAAGCCTATGTAATTCAAGTGAATGCTTGACATTATGGTGTTCCATATAATTATGCATGTATGTAACTGTGTACAAGTACACATATTCAGTTTTCAGGTATTAGGATAGTAGGCCTGTTGGCCTATGTTAATCCTTGCACAAGATATCTCTGTGAAGATTTAATTTCTCCTCATAGGACAGGTTCGAAAAGCCTGCCACAAGCTTAGTACCTACCCTGTGAACACGCTTGAGTGCGTCAGCATCGTTTTCTAGGCATGGGCTGGCCACCCGAATGTAGTATTCCAAGTGAGGTCTAATACAAGTAGAATAGAGTAATCTAAAAATGTCCTGACCAAACCTTTTGAAAACTTTGCGGATAAACCATAATACGCGGAAGCCTTTTGCTGCAGCTGCATTAGTTTTCCGACGCTTCCAAATTATGATTAATGATGACACCCGTCTTTTGGTTCAATGACTGGGAGTAGTGGTGTACCATCAACGAAATACTGGAAACAACTGCTATAACCAGTGTGCTTTTGTTAGAGCTGATTTCCAGGCACTAACGTGTGGATCAACCTACTGGTTCATCTAAATCCGCTTGAAGTGCATACCTATCTGCATCACCCCTTGTGGCTTTCCAAATCTTCACATCATCGGCTAATACCAGTACCGAAGAGATGAGAATTTTTGGTAATTCGTTGATATATAAGAAGAAAAATGGTAGACCTAGAATCGTTCCATGAGGAACTTTACTCATCACAGGTTTCCACTCGGACAGTATCCCATTTATCCTTACCCTGTGTCTTCTATTGCACAAAAAGTCCTCAATCCAGGCTTGCAATGAAGCATGAAACCCAAAAGAGGAGAGCTTTCCTAGTAATTTCACACGCGACACTTTGTCGAGCGCCTATAAACACGGCATCTGTTGGCAGCTTGCAGTCACGAGCTTCAACCTATTCCTTTCTTGTGATAAGGAGGTTAGTTATATAGGAGTGTCCGGTACGAAAACCCTGCTATTGTGGTGCCAAAAATTGGTTGGTTCAACATATTTAAGCACCTTGTCACGAATTAGTTTTTCTAAAACCTGAATAACTATGCTAGTTGGACTCACAGAGCGATAGTAAGACACCGAATTGCGACTACCGGCCCTAAAAACTGGGCTGATTATGGCATCTTTCCAGTCTCTAGGGAGGCGAGTATCAGTTACAGACATATTAAAAATATCCGTGACTGGTTCAGCAATAATGTCTGCTAGCAAAGATAGAGGTCTGGGATGTTACTCATCGCGACCCGAGGATTTTCCAGGTTTAAGATTAATGAACATCTGTAAAACTCTTTCCTTTGTTGTGAACACAGTATCTCTCAATGGAACAGTGCTGAAACCGCTAGTGAGGACTCCATCGTCATGATCTACAGAGTAGAATTCACTAAAGTAATCCGATAGGTATTCAGCTTTAAGCAGATTTGATTTCGCAAGACTATCGGAATTCTCATCCATCGCCAGGGAAGAAATTCCATATTTTCTTTTAATCCTCCTTGTGATGAATGCGAACAGTCTTTAAGGACAATTTTGGCAATCCCTCATAAGCTTTTTCTTTCAGGGCATTTGAGACTGTGTAATCAAAGTTTCGCAGAGATTACGGACTTTACAGTACCCAGTCTAAAGTGTTTACAGTCTAGTTTCTAGAAAAAAGTCCCATAAACGTTTACTCCGCCCTACAAGTTTCTTAATGTCTTTGTTAAACTACCGAGGGTGATGTGAGGATCATCGTGGAATTGAACATGGAATAAATGGCGTCGTTACCTCTTCAAATAGAGTCCTAAATCCATTCCATGCGTTCTCAAATTCTGAGTCCTTGTCGATGGTCCATACATATGTGTATATAAAAACAACAATTTGTGAGAACCAGATTTTAAGTCTGTTACAAAAAGTCACATTTCATTGCTTCCTACATCTCTTAAACATCAGTGTTGTAACCTTAGTTTCTATCAACCTGGCTATCAAAAGGAGCTTGGAAAGAGTATCTTAAAAATACTAGGAAGTTAGTACTGCCTTCAAGTCAGAGTCTGTATGTTTATTTCCTATCATGGCACAAAACCTTGTTTTAAGTCGCCCGCAAGTAAATATGCCTACCGGTTCGATGAAGCAAACTATCTTCAGCTATTGTCTATTAAGTCTTTAAAACTTTTAAATCTATCAGATCGTTGTAGTTGATCGATGAATGGCTTTATCTGTGTCTCATTGCTTACCTACATGCGCATTGATATATACGTTTGAGGCAAATGAGGGCCGGAAAACCAGTGAGACCTGAGTTCAACAAACCACTGACCGAGCCTAGCATTGTAAACCGTCCTAACTGGCAGATAATGACATTAAAAACTACAATAACATGACAGACAATATAGAAATGAAATAAAATTCTGAACACTCGATTTTGACTATGATAACGAGAATATTGTCCGTCCAAAAGCAGTGACTTCATAGTGTATGAAACGTTTTGATAAAATGTATGCACAAATGTTTTAACGTGACATTTGAGAGTACACTGCAAAATAAGAGTGCTAAAATACTGAGAACGTTCCACTTAGGAAACTGATTATGACAAAATGATGATGGAGTATCGCATCAAAACAGTTTACCAAATTACTAGTGAGTTAGATAACAGTTGTGAAAACTTTCATAGTCAGTGTTAGTTAGAATTAACAAGGCTTAATGTGCACATTGACTGTTTTAAGGGAAAGTAAATGCAGGTAAATATGAGCATTAGTTGTATAAACCAAGAACATACATGGAATAAATTTGTTGTAACAGAATTGAGGTTATTCTAATAGGGTATACAACAACACAATAAAAGTCGATTGACCATTTGTAAAATATGTTCATGAGCAACCACTAATGTTTCACCTACCTTCATGTAGATCGTGTTGTATGATGAAACTTCGTCTTGCTGAATAATGGCTTTGTCTGATTTTTTAAAGGAAGTGTCAAAGCTATGTGAGGCTATTAACTCCTAAATTTATGCACCTGTATCCTATTACATGACGATGGCGACTACCGAATGAATCCGTCTGTGAATATCGTCAATCGTCACTCCTGGCCACTGAAATAAATCGTTCACTCACAGTAATCTGTAACACCATAACTGACTAATTTTTTATTTTTGTTTTCATTCAGCTCGTCGAAGGTCCCAAGTTGATTGAAAATCCTTACTCTTGGAATAAGGTAAGTGGAAAATGAATGTTTACAGTCTGTTAAAGTAAATGCAGTTGGTTATTCTGCCTGCAATTTCATACTGACTCACTTTTATACATAGGCGAGATTCATACTTCATTATTAGCACTATTTTGAGTAGATAATTAGTTCGACAGAAAAATGAGGTGAACAAATACAAATCGCCTTTCACTGATAAGAATACACTTAATAAATACCCTGGTAAGGTATGAAGCAGTGCTAAAGAACCATTTAGTATTCTTTTCAGTTGCTGACATTTTACACAAAAATCTATTCATCCAAGTTCAGGCATGATATATTCTGTTGTATAACATAATGTGTCAGGTTGGATATTTGAATAGACGTGGCAAACGTATGTATAGATAACATTGTAGGAACCAGTCATGAAACCTAGTCGAATTTCATTGGTGTAGTTACATCACCTTCAGATAGCCAAATAGCCGTGAAATCTAATCACTCCCAGTTACATACAAGACGTACAAACATGCAATAATGACCAGATATGTTGTGGTCAAACATGCTACTCGAAAATCACAGGAATATATTCATCTGTGGGTGAATGAGAACTGCAATAGCTTGCTGACTGTTATAGCATTCTATGTGTGATAACTACTTAGCTACTACTCTGATTTATGTACAACGAAATGAAGTCATCTTCTTTTATAACTAATCGCATGTATTGAACAGCCTTAATTTATCATCTATCACTCGAACTAGTAAGTTTATCAATACAATTTGAATAAACTGTAGTTGATCACATTAATGCATGAAAACAGAAGTGGTAGATGGCTTACTTAATTAAGCACAGTGACAGTTTGCACTGTAACCAACAGTTTGTAAAGAAATCAGACATCAGATTTAGCTGGCTTTATGTGGAGTATCGTAGAGTATTTATCAGCACTTTTCTAATACCTTCTCTATATAATCACTTTTATTAGTTTGCAAATGTTCTGTATTTGGAAGCACCAGCTGGTGTTGGCTTTTCTTACACTGTAAACGGAAGCTGGGAGTCGAGCGATGACTCGGTGAGTTTCATCTGTACAACCATTTTCCTTGGTTTGCGTGAGACGAAATATTTTCTGTTTTATGAAGTATGTTTTCTCAGAATTAGCTGGTATTAATTATTGAATTATCCTAGCCTATCAAGTAGATTCAGGAATAACTTGGAAAAATCATTTCCTAGAAATGATAACAAGAAACTCAGTAGACTGGTCAGTGGTGTCATGTGTCAAGAATAAATAAGTAAAGTATCGTGGCACAACTGAGTTTTATGTATAAGAAAGTCCACCAGCAAGAAGGATATGTCACTTTATGGAAGACCAGGCATCTTCGGTGATATAATCTTGCATGAATTATCTCTGAAGTTATAACTCTCACTGACGAGCTACTTAGGTCACGAGATAAACAGTCTGTGTACACCAGCTGTTAACCTGACAACAACGAGTATGCTTTTGAACATGACCCACAGTACTCCATCAGTTAACCAAAATAGTCAAGCACGTCGCATCTCATTGGTCTGTTACTCAACTTGACAGCACTATCACTATCAACTAAAAATTTCGACTGGACCATTTAATCCATAACGTCCATATACAAACCTGTGAACCAATTGGTTTTCAAGGTATACATTTCTGTGTTCAAGTCAATATTGAAGAGATAAATGCTATGGTAATTAAAGCTTCAAAATTTATGTCTAAATGAAGTGAAAGTGTAAAGTAAACAATCAAACACTGTTTTTGAATGGGATCAGGTTATGGGAATGATTATGTGTAACGACTAGATGTTCGTAAAGCCTGTATGGAGGTACGTTTTGGCAGGAGGTAGTGTAGAGGAGTGTGAGGTTAATGGTAATTACGGGAATCTGGAAGGGACATGAGGAATAGAAAAACGTGAGTCGACTACTCAGCAGGTACACAGGATGTACCTAAACTTAGTAATAACCAATAATTGACAGACGGTTGAGCTTGACAATGAACAGATGAGGCAGTCTAGAAATCGAAACTGGAATTGAATGAGTGAGGTTTAAAGTGGCCTAAACACATTTCATGTTATTCCTGATATTAGGGAGATTGTATGATATAACTCATCGAATAGATCAGATTACAGGAAAACATTTACAAGGATAAAAGTGTGATAAAGTTGAATATGTGGTTGGGGTATGGGTGTGAATACGTACTAAACAGACATCTTTGTATATGAATCTGAGATTTCGATGCATAAATAGTCGTGACCTGTGCTGTTTTGTAGTGTTCAGAGAAGAGAAGATATCTTAGAATATTCAGATGAATATCATGATCTGAAAATCATTCAAAAACATCCTGATTTATCACAAAAGTAGTTTTAGGAATAATTCTTGTGCCAACTTGACGAACTCAGAGGCCAATCACTTATTATTCGTAGTTGTAATACACCCATGAATACGTGAACAAGAAGGAACACAATAGTGTAGTCGGATGGGAATAGTATATTTGAGATGTCCTGACGAAGTACAGAGATGCGTTCCAAGTAGCTGACTAGATGGTCGATTACGAGCAGTGCCACGTAACACGACAACATACTAAATGGCGAGGATGCTTGACCATGTGCCTTCAGCTTAGTGAGTCTGATAAAACTATGAAGGTCAGCATCACTGTTCAATTTCATCCAACCCTAGACTATTGATTTAGGGGAATTATGTGCTACTACAAGTTGATATGTAAATTGGATACTCAATAGAAAAATATTTGACCACTCTCCTTGAATAATAAAGTTGTTATTTATTATACGGATTACAGTAGTGTAATTCAAATCAGTGATTTGCTTCACTCTACCATCTCTGAATACTTGATATTAGAAGTTATTTCGTATATGTTAGTGTGCAGGCACAAATCTATTAAACATGCTTAAAGAATAGACTAAGAGTTTCATGTACAGTTTGTAGTAGACACAAAGAATGTCAAGTAAACCAAAATGACAAACTTCGTATAATTACAAGAAAAATGGATTTTATGATACACACGTATGAAAAGTTATACGTTATAGCACAAACAGTATTGTCAGTGTTATAGATAATCACTGGTTACTTGGAGGTTATCTCTTCGGTATTGTCCACCACAATTCTCGGCTACTCCATAGATGAGAAGACTATACTTGTTGGCTCTCCGCAGTGGTCGTTGGTCGGCTTGATTGTCGTAATATATGGATGTAGGATGAGAAGTCCTGTAAAATCCCAAGACAATCAGTTATTATACACGACAGGCAATAGTTGTGGGGTCAGAAACCGGAATGGTTGGAAGCACATTATATTTCCACGATTAGCAGCAGCAAAAGATGTAATTACCGCCACAACCAAAAGAGTCTGTATGTAAATAACATTTGTTTTTACAAGTATTAGGAAGAATGTACACAACGTGTAAAAAACGATGAAAAGGAAACACTGGTTTTAGTTGAAGTGGTCTATACACAATTTTATGCAGTCTCCACAAGTTTCACACATCTATTAATGTCATTGCAGCAACTAGCACACTTCAGTACTTCAGATTATTGACTTGATGAACTGAGTTATCAGTCCAAACTCAAGTATTCTTAATTTATTCAACTCGTATTGGTATATGTAATTGTATGTTGGACAGTAAACTTGTTTCCTTCTATTCCAATACGTAGATTTGTATTCGATTACAAGTCAATATTCTCCTGTTTAGTATGCTGTTTTTATTCCAGATGATCAAAATAATTCTGCACCTAGGATGGCTTGATTTAAAAATTCAGCCTTTTATTGAATAATCTTTCCAAGTCTTTGAACATAGAAGATTCAGTGGTAACTACTGTCTAGACTGTGTGTATTAGCATATATGCAAGAGGATATTACTTCTGCCTTAATAACAATAATGAATCGGAGAGAGGTGGAATGGTTGTGTATATGTCTGTTCTGCATACGACTGTATCATTATCTAACAGGCAATCGAGTCTAGAAGATGATATCCCCTAACTAGGACGAAACTCACATTCTTCATCTCACTGATAGCTGCCAACAATCATTATTATTATTATTATTATTATTATTATTATTATTATTATTATTATTATCATTATTATTATTATTATTATTATTATCATTATCATTATCATTATTATTATTACCGCTATTCGGATTTGTCAAGTAAATCTTAAATATTAGTTAGAAAGATACTTTTATAATCTGATACCAAATATTTCCTATCCATTTCTAAAATACTTTTATAAACAGACTGCAGAAAACAACTTTTATGCCTTACTCAACTTTCTAAAGAAATTTCCTGAATATGAGAAACGTGATTTCTTTATAACCGGTGAAAGTTACGGTGGTGTTTATGTGCCTACTTTGGCTCTACGTGTTCTTACTTCGGAAAAGTTCAACCTGAAGGCAAGTCAACTATGGATGTGAATTGTGAATAACTTCTTGTTTGCTGATGTCGTCTTGTTTTATCATAACTTCTAATGCTTCTTCTTTAAAAAATAACCTAACTAAATCGAAGTCATTTATTATCCTACCAGAGTGACTAAATAAATACTCCAAGATGATGATATCCGAATAACAGTTTAACAATGATTGTGGTTATTTCAATCACCTAACCACATGGTACTAAGCATTAGCAACAGTCTTTCATATTTGAACTATACAACCTGGTTTGATGACTATCTTGTCTGCATGCTATGCCAACATCCGTCAGCTCATAATTCATAAAGCTGAATAACCTCTGTCCTCTTCACTTATCGAATTCATAAGGACAGAAGACGCGACAGCTGGGAACTGTGCTTCGGATGATTGAGAGTTTGACTCACACAGTTATTACTATTATGAATGGGATGGTCACATCATGTAAACAATAATTTCTTGAATGTATAAAAAATTGTTTCTTCATGAGGATTTCTCTCCATATTGGTTGTGGATATGTAGCATGCCGACTTAGACACTTGAAATTCTGTCAGTAAGTCCCATGACGTATGTACCACTGCATTTATTTCTACCTAAACAATCAAGTAGCAGTAATCGCTTACATTATAAGTTGGAGATTGTAACTGACATATCTCTGAATCTATGCTGATGATGTGGATGTATTCGCAAATTATCTTCTTAAACTTTACACCACATTTCGTTAGTTTATTTAGCCTTTTCTCCTGTTGTATTGTCACCTTCTCCATCATCCCCCCCCCCACTCCGTTTCCATCTCCTTGTCTTTTGTCTTGTTGTCTCGCATTCCGGTATACTGATTTGTGGTGTGTCAGCTGAGACCACTGAACAACAACGTCACATTTCATGTTGATATAATTAAGTTGAGTGACTGGGAGCAAGAGTCTCACAATCCTCTGAGGCCATTATAAAGACATTTGAGCATATCACCATCACTCCTTTTCGATTCTATCAAGAATCTACTTAGAAAATAGTGAATATTCAATGACAACTATTATTCTGTAGACAGGAGAAGTTAACAGCCTATATGAGAAAGTTATTGAAAGTTTCACAGTATACCAATTGTGAATTCAGTGTTAACAACCACTTACTTGACTGGTTCATTCAATTTTTGTCGATTGAATTCAGTTATACACCCGAAGATATCTGTTCAACGAGAAAAGAGATAGAGTTTATCGAAACACATATGCAGTGATTTTGGGCGAGCTCTGAATGTTATTCTCAGTTTCCACTTAGTCCTATTTATTTCAGTGTGTCTGTTGTCAACCGTTAACGGTGTGAAAGCATGCTGGTTGAAGCAGAAATAGGTATGAAAGGAGCTGTGGATGGCTAGAACAAGACAATATCATCAGTCTGTGGAGTCTCTCGTAGTCAGTCTGAGGCATGACTGGAAGGTATAGACTGCGGTGTCTGGCTGACAGTTATATGAAGATGGGAACCAGTTGCATTGTGAATCTTGGTGATATGATAGGTATATACACCTCTTAAGACCTTTGAAATTCTAAGTATTTTTGTTTCCTTCATCCTCACATGCACTTCACCAGCTTCAACAAAAATCATCTCCCATTCACTCCTCCTCTGTTTGCCATTACAAGTTACGACAACTTGAACACAGATGATTCTTTGTAACTTTCTGAACCCACCTATATTTCTCTCTTTCTTTCTTTCCTTTCATTCTAATATCCACTACTTGTAGCACATAAACTACTGTCAGATTCACTAGGTGAAATATATTACTATACTTCACTTACATCAACACAATATGGTGGAATTAGGAATTGGTGGGGAAAAAATAAACCGTCAAAAACAATAGTATCATAAGTTGAAAAACAATATAGAAGAGTCCAAGAAAAGTGGAAAAGCTGAACGTGTACGGTGACATTATCTACATAAAGACAATTGATGAATTAATCTGTAGAGAATAATTACGATTTGAACTATCCATACTCAGAGTACACATGTATATTTTTCATCCACTCATCATACAGTGTAATTTCTAATGAACATGCAGCTGTTGAACAGCCACGAAATTTGAGAATGTTTATTGATGAGGTTTAAGGTGATCAGCAAAGTAGTTTTTCTGTCAAATCAAGCAAAATAACACAATAAATATCATGATGAATATGATGTAAATTGCTTACACTTATAAAAGGTTATGTTTTCCGTCGAGTAAGCTGCTTTGACATTCCTTGTGATGGACAGCTATTGTAGAGCACAGAGAAGACAGTTTTTCATAGGTAGTGAATCCCGAAGCTACATCATGCCATGTGGTTTATGGTAATTGGATGTGACATTAGTAGGCTACACGTGTTGGTCACTTCTACCTGTAAACTACATCTGATATGAAGGAAAGTTTCAATGCAGAAAACTCAAACATATTGTGAGGTTTTTGATTCAAGCTTCGTACACTCGAAGCCATAAATCAGGACACAAACTTATGGATAACATTCGAGTATAGTTCCACTATACTATGAATATACAGAAGTAGAAAATAGGGGATAATTATACAGTATCGTGGGAACTGGTTAGTAAGTCACTGGCTGTGTTGCAATGTAGTGATTGACTCCACATTCTATGGGCTCATATGTGCTTACTACTGCGAAGCTCGCCACTAGGAGTGAACGGCTGATCACTACAACTAGGCATGCAATAGCTCCTAGCTCGTAATGAAAACCTCCTTGAAATCAACCAAAGCTCACAAACCACTGACTGAACTAATATCTCAGTGTTGTTGTATAAATACTTGGCAGTTCTGTATAAAATTATTCACCACTGGTCTCTGCTAAGTAGAATGATGGTGATCGGTTAGTTGCCGTATCGTGGCATAATGAAGATGTAAGTGGTTGAATTACTTACAGTACACATTTGAACTATTACTAAAAGGATCTATTCAACCAGTGACACAAATGTTCGATGCAAACAGGAAACAAAGTCGTTTTATTGAATACAGCTGTATGACTCATTACTCAATGTTTATTTAAGATATCCCGTCTTCCATTTTTATGCATCTGTAGGCGATTGCAGTGGGAAATGGAATGACCAATTCTGATCTACTAGACAACTCTGCTCTTTACTTTGCCAATTATCATGGACTGGTAGATGAAAGGTGAGTTGTTTGTTATCGGTGTGCACCTTATCTTGACTTCTACACAACTTAACTCCTCTCTCATATGAGACAATAATATTGCTGATGAAGACAACAATATAACGAAACGAAATGCATGTCGAGAGAGAATTTACAGTTGTTTTCTGTGTATTATAAACTGTTCACGCTTTGTAATGTGTAACATGTATACATCTTTGTCATGTTCATTCACTCTTCAATATCTCAGTATATATACATGACTACATTAGAAGTCAATCTTCACAATGTATGTTTTTCACCAGTAATAGGAAGTTCAACAGGATTTACATTGAAGGCGAACAAGCAGCTTTACCACTTTCGTACCATCTATTTCAGAATGAAGTAAGATAAGCTTGCAGAAATGCTCATAGCACAAACATGAAAGCAGTTCACTAACTGACTGCAATCTTACCTCACCTATACTACTAAGTGTAGGTTACCCAGTTGAGAATATCGAAATGTTGAGGGCTAAGATCTCATACAACAGCACAAGCATGAACTAATTTCTTGTCATTGCCAATAGGATAGATAGCTGTCGACAGTATTTTACATTGTTCAATGTCACTTTGGTTGCTTCTTATATGCAGTGCACACCGATGCAAAATTGTGTGTTTTGAACACCGTCTGTTGTCTTTGATCTTGACAATTTGAGTTGCTTGGTCATCTGATCTAGGCAAGTCAAATAGGTCACTTAGACTTTGTTCAACATTCATAATGTTAATTCAGTGAAAGGGAGTTTTCTTAGTCAATGAAATACATCCCACTGAATTATACTGAGAGAGAATTGGTAATCAACAGTCGAATATGTGATGCTTTAGTTCGGTTAATCAACCTCGATTTTGTTTTGTATTATCGTCTATCCATTTGTTTATCTGTATCCTGTTGTACTTCTACTGAATAAATTGATGAACAGAAAGCATTTATTCACTTCAAAATACACTGTTTGCACTTGTCTACTCATTATGCAACCCCTGCCTTGTTCGTGTTCAAAGTGTATTTGTTCTAAGTCAATCTAACACCTGAACGAGTTATGATGTTGGTGTCAGCTGGTTGATAGTGGTTGTAAGTGTAATCTGGGATGTACATCTCGTCAGTATTTGAGACTGGTCAGAGGGATTTAGCTATATCCCAGTGAATGATGGTCTTCACACCTTCAATCTAACCCACCACTCTCCACTTCAAATTCCAAAGTGTTATCCACCCTCAGTCGCCCATCACTTACTATGCAACATGTATCAATTGACATCGCATAATACTTGTCACTTTCCACTGACGTTGGCAAGAGATCCTGACAATCACCCAGAAGGAGAAGTATTCAGCCGATGAACCCGTGATTAGAGGCCGTTTGCAGATAACATCATTTTAAGTGGTAACCACATAAAATGACCATGATTGACAGTTACATCATCTCATGTGTTGATAGAGAGTGGACTAATAAATTTGAAAATCTTTAGCTGTATACTGACATGTTGATAGTGTGACTGCATAGTGGTAGGCTTCATTTAGCACGAGGTCATTTCATTGGTGGCTACTGTTGTCAAGTTCAATGCCAAGTTGAAATAATTTCTGTCAATCCTCTTCGTTTTCCAATACTCGTTTAATCACTATAGATTTGTGATGAAAATTACCTTGATGAAGGGAATATTACGCTTATGTTTTTCTTTCCACCTTATTGTTACTTTTCAGTAATTGGAATATTCTAATTAGTCAATGCTGTCAAGTTGGATATCCAACGAAATGTATATTTACAAAAAATGACTCCGATATTTGTCAGAGTGCAGTAAGTGTGATATATTCTACTTACTACATTTCTTTACTTCCTTTATCTACTCTTTCTTGTATTGATGTTCCACTTCATCCTTGGTGCTATGAAATAAACTGTGATGAATTGGACTGATAGGACTCGAAGTTACCTACATCTATCTTCATTAGAGCTAAACTAAGAGACTTTGTAAGTGGAAAAAAATTATCAGGTTTGTTCATTAATGTTGTGATTAAGATGGAATTCATTACAGAAAACTGTAGGTTACGCAACATAAAGATCAAATGTTTGTATTTTAAATGTACATGACCTATTGAACCGACAATTAGAAGGAATAATAGTCCCTTGAATGTGTAAACATGTACTATGTAACACTTCCATTTTGACCATTTGTGATATCAATTCACAAAGGAAAGGGAGATGAATTGCATATCCTCATACAATTGGCAATCAGCCAGATCTATTATGCCAGGGACTGCAAAAACCATGGTAAATGAAACAGATTTCAGATCTGTGACCAACTGTTCAGAAATAAACTGCTTAAACCAAACAAACAAAAATCTGCCAGCTTCATCTTCACTACCTGATATGAAGTAAATGTTGGAAATCAGCTGTCACAGGTCATTCAAAATTGACTATAATGATTGACGTGTATTCATAGTTTGTTTTTGGTGTAAGAGATATCAGTAAGTTATTGTTCTACATCTTTTGGAGTTTATCTTTTTAATGCATTATCAATTAGTCTGCTAACCTCACTCGAAAACTCACTATACTAATTAGGAAGCTTACATTTTTTTCTTTGAATGTCTTTCCTTCGTCGTGCTATCATCATATATCATATATTCTATGCTTGCTCAATATCAACTGCTGTAAATTCGTGATTCACAGAAATTAACAATCAATCTTTTCACCTGATTACTAATTTGATGAATAAGAAGTAAACAGCTGCCGTACAAACTTCCAAACTGTATCAGTTATATCCAATCCAATCTGACATTTGTTTACTGATATATGTTACCTGGACAAATTATCATAGAGTGATGACAGTAAGGTAGAAATTGCTTCCCAAAGGTTTGCTGCTAATGGTTGAAGTGAATTAAAAGTGTTTTATGAAATGTAACAAGGTTGGTAATAGCACAAAATGTCACCGAGTTCCGTCTATAATATTTTTTTTTGAGTGCACCCAGTTGATTTACTGGTTCCCCATTACTTTGTTAATCAATAATTAGAGAAGTGAAATTTCTTCGATTTCTGTTAAGCACTAAAGAGTGTACAATCATATGAAACTCTTAAAATTATTATTATTATTATTATTATTATTATTATTATTATTATTATTATTATTATTATTATTATTAGTCCCTTGGGTTCCTAATGGAACATAAAGCTTCAGTAGCACTTCTCCACTCCACTCTGTTCTCTGAAATCTTTTGAACCTGGCTCCACGACACTCCAGAAGCTCTCATTTCCTCCTCGCACGATATCCTCCATGTCACCCTCACCTCGGACACCCAACTCGTCGCTTCACATCAGGGTTCCACTCGAGTGCCTAGCCTGTTGCGTGATGTCCCCAGTCAGCCTTCTCAGTGTATGCCCAATCCATCTCCGCTTCCTTCCACTGCATATTTGTTGGGTGATAGGTTCTTGGTTGGTTCGTTGCCAGTCAACCACAGTTCCTTGTTGCTTATTCTTTCTGGCTATGCCATCTGATCTTCAGTAGCGAGCCAGCGTAAGCAGTTGTTGATGAATGTCTGTAGTTTATTGGAAATCCCTTTCGTAACGCGCCAAGTCTCTGAGCCATACAAGAGCACTGACTTGACGTTGGTGTTGAAAATACGGATCTTGTTCCACATGCTGAGTGTAGTGCAGAAGATCTCCACACTGGTTTCAGGCTAATGAACGCCTGTCTTGCTTTTCCGATTCTGACTTTGACATCCTCGTCTGTGCATGTGCCGCCTGTAGTTGAAACGGTGTTGCCTGCCTAGATAGGTGAAGGAGGTTACTTTTTTTAAGTTTCTCCCGTTTATGGTGATGGTGATTGGAGTTTGTTGTTGTTGTTGGAGGTGGTGGTGCGGTATCTTCATCACCTCTGTCTTCTCTATATTCACTTGAAGTCCCGTCTTAGCTGCCTCTTCTGTCAACTTGTTAGTTTTCGCCTGTAGATCTTCAAGTTTGTGTGACACCAGGCACAAGTCATCGGCGAAATCCAAATCTTCTAGGTTCTTTTCCGCAGTCCAGTGTATTCCCCTCTTCTCCCCCCCCCACTGTTTGCTGCATGATCCAGTCGAGTGGACCACAATCAGACTTGTCTTACTCCTGTCTTCACTTCAAAAGAATCACTGAGCTGAGGTTTCCATAGTGAATTACTTGGCATGTGGCATCTTCATATAGTTGTTGAATGAGGCTGATAAAGGTTTGCGGCATTCCGTAGTATTGAAGCAGCTGCCAAATTACTTCCCGGTCGACGCTGTCAAAGGCCTAATCAAAGTCGATAAAGTTAAGGTGTAGAGTTGACTGCCATTCTATGCTCTGTTCTATGATGATGCGAAGCGTTGCAATTTGGTCCGCAAATGATTTGTACTTCCTGAAGCCTGCCTGTTCCGATGGTAGTTTCGAATCCAGTGCATCCTTTAGCCTCTCCAGGATGATGTGGCTTAATTTTTTGCTTGCTCTGGGTGGACAAAAGAGTGATTCGGCGCCAGTTCTTGCAAACACTGAGGTCTGCCTTCATCGGGAGTTTAACAAAGTAACCCTTCTTCCAATCGCCAGGTACCTTCTCTTCCTTCCACACCTTCTGCAATAGTGGTGTGAGCATGTCTGCTGTTGTGTCTGCGTCTGTTCTCAGTGCTTCTGGTGGGATCCCATCTGGTGCTGCTGCTTTCCCACATTTCAGCAGCTTTATGGCATTCAGGGCTTCCACTTTGTTAGGAGATTTGTGTTCACTTGTGGTTCAGCCGCTGTATGTGGTATTTCTGGACGAAGTGCAGGTGGTGGTCGATTTAAGAGCTTCTTGAGGTGGTCGGCCCATCGTTTCCTTTGTTTCTCTTCTTTCGTAATTAAATTTCCTTCATCATCTTTTATTGGTTTCGTCTGCGTTGATCTCTTTCCAGATAGTAACCTGGTTATTTGATACAATGTCGTCAGGTCTCTCTTACCTGCAGCCTGTTCTGCATCATTTGCCAGTTTTTCGTAGAAGTGTCTTTTGTCTTTCCGTGCACTCTTCTTCACTTCTTTGTCCGGTGTTTCATACATTGTACTAACTCTTAAAATAGTAATTCTATATTTTCGTATACAAAAAATATTTCATTTCAATCAGAACTGGTCATTTAAATAAATCTGCATTTGTTACTGGTGAAATATCCTCTTCAGTCGGTGAAAAATCAAACAGACAGTTACATTGTAAATTAATTATCTTTTCGATAACTTATTTTCAAGGATTTACTTCTGAAGATATGTAACTGGAAGATTGAAAAGTACTAGATGAATCTGTGGTCGAAGGTCAAAGTCATTAAAATAGCCAAAACATGTTCAACAATTGAGTATAGTAATATTATGTAAGATTATATGTAAGGCTATTGAAATTTTCACAAAATTGGTGAGTAAAAATATGGAGAATGAAATAAATTGAGAATACCTGTATGATGGCGAGTTTGCCTTTCTGTCTTGGAAAATTACAAGACAAGTATAATCAAAAAAATTGCAATGTGACAATTTTAAGGGTGCGGTGAAGAAAATGACTTTTACGTCTTCAATGTGTGTTTTCATGCTCATATTGAGTATCTACTGATTGACAACTCGAGTCAGATATCAGATTACTAGAGTGTATTATTCATCTCCTACACTGTCAGTACAAGAATAATTTTGATGTTCGATATAAGTAATGAGTTATGAGGAAAGGTAACCCTGAACTGTTAGCGTTCATCAGCAAGGAGGATCTGAAACCATAAATAACCTGTTTCCACACACATCGAACTGGCTTCATTCAGTGTTGAAGTGAAAGATATTATCAGTGAGCTATGTAGGCCACAGACGACAATCCTAATCTTACTAGAATGTAACTTTGGTGATGAATTATTCCATATCAACTTTTATTGCAATCAAGTTACATATCAATTCGTTTCCAAACATGGTATTTTCTTTCCTTCTACAGGTTAGTCGTGTAGCGAGAAGTGCAATGAATGAAATTAACATCTATAATATATATGCTGAATGCGCTGGTGGTGTAAAACCAATTTACTTCAAAGAGTATTCATCTTCTGTTGAAAAACATGTACACAATGATTTTGGTAATTTATTCCGTAAGAACGCTTACATTAACAAGCATCAACACCTCATGTAAGTGAAGTATTTAAATATATATATATATAGAATGATAAGCACACTTCATTCGAATTACTTTCAATTATCTGGACATACTTTCACTTCGGATGATTTACGTCAACTAGACCTACCTTCATCCATTTTGGTATTCCTACTGAAAGTCATTCTCAACACTCATCAATTCAAAAATATAATATAACTTAGATACAACTACAGGCAATGTCAATGCATTTGACCAAAACGTTCATATATTAAAGTAGTCTGATAAATTCAATCTTCTATATAAACTGCATGAAAGATCAAAAATTATTTACTGATAACTAGGAAAACAATATATTTTGATCAACTAATAATACACCTCACTAGAATTAGGCTTACTAAATTCCTATTTCATTCGAATCATATCACTTCTCGAAATTACAAGTAAATGAATATTAAGCTGATGAAAGTAAGTAGTAAGCGACAAATATATTATGAAGTTGCCGAAATGTAAAATATGTCTCATAGAATGTCCTGTTCACAAGATACTTACTCAATAATTAATGTTCTACCTAAGAAACGAAAAAGAACATCATTAAAGAATCAGTATAAATTTGTCAGAAAACGAAGATTATCTGAAAAATGTGTGATGTATGCGCTCAATACATTTCGAACAATCTGACTGATCACATATTTACTTGTCAAGTCAACTTATAAATGAAATGAAAAGAAACAAATTTAAGGTCAAAATATATTGAATATCGAGGACCAGATGGAATTCCTTCAGAATCACTGAAAACAGACGTAGAGACAACAGCCGACTTGCTAACACGCCAGAAGGTGCTTGGAGATTGACTGTAAGAAGGGCTACCTTGTCAAACTCTCAAAAAAGGGAAACCTATGCCTTTACATGAACTGGTGAGGAATCATGCTGCTATCCGCCCAAAGCAAAATATTAAGCCACATCATCCTGGAAAAGCAAACAATGCGCTGGACTCAAAATTACGAACGGAGCAGACGGGATGGCTTCAGGAAGCACAAATCATGTGGGCATCAAATTGCAACACTACGCCACACTACGCATCATCATAGAACAGCGTATAGAATTGCAGTCAACTCAACTGTACCTCAGTTTCATCGACTTTGAAAAGTCCTTTGACAGCGTCGACCGAGAAGTAATTTGACAGGCAGCTGCTTCAACACCACGGAATACCACAAACCTTTATCAACCTCATTCAACAACTATATGAAGACGCCACATGCCAAGTAATTCACAATGGAAAGGTCAGTGATGCCTTTGGAGTGGAAGTGAAGACAGGAGTAAGACAAGGCTGCTTACTATCTACAACTATCTTCCTGATTGTGGTGGACTGGATCATGCAGTAGACAACTGTGAGGAGCATGAAAATAGGGATACGCTGGCTTGACTGATGAAAACATCCTAGAAGATTTGGATTTCGTCGATGATTTATGTCTAATGTCTTGTAGCACAAACTCGAAGATCTACAAGCGAAAACTAACAAGTTGACAGAAGAGGCGAGGCAGGGCAGCGGAGACGGGACTTCAAGTGAATGTAGAGAAGACAGAGGTGATGAAGATACCCAACCAAAAACAGTATCAACAATATGCACCAATCATTATCAACGGGAGAAACTTAAAGGAAGTAGTCTCTTCCACCTACCTGGGCAGCATCGTTTCAACTACAGGCGGCAGTGGCACAGAAGAGGACGTCAAAACCAGGATGGGAAAAGCAAGACAGGTTTACATTTATCTGAAATCAGTGTGGAAATCTCCCGCACACGACACAAAGAACAACATCCGGGTTTTCAACTCCATTGTCTAGTCAGTGCTGCTAAATGGTTGAGAAAGTTGACGCGTCACGAAAAGCACTTCCAATACAATATAGATATTCATCAACAGCTGCATACGCTCGATGCTGACACTGAAGATCAGATGGGCAGAAAGAATAAACAACAAGGAACTCTGGCCGGCCAACGAACCAACCAAGAACCTATCGCTCAACAAATATGCAGAAGGAAGTGGAGATGGATTGGGCATACACTGAGAAGGCCGACTGGGGACATCATGCGCCAGGCTAAGCCGTCGACTGGAAAGCAAATGGGAAACGACAAGTTGGGCGTCCGAGGTGAGGTTGACATGGAGGAGGTCGTGTGAGGAAGAAATGAGAGTTTTTGGGCAGTAGCGGCGCCAGGTTAAAGAAGACTGGAGAGAAGAGAGTGCAATGGAGGCGTACTACTGAAGCCCTATGTTCCACTAGGAACCCAAGGGAAAAACAATAATAATAGTAATAATAATGGTGATAATAATGTATGTGTGCCCACACATACACGTAAATGGGTAAACACAGTGGGATATAACATAATCATTTATGCGAGGTTGAGTTTTGTGGTGAATTAGAGGTTTTGTTGTCTAAACAGTGAGAAGCTGAGCTGCATAGTGTGTTTCGCTGATAACTGATTTTATTCTTTGTTTCAATAGCCTATTACTCGTTACCCCGTTTGTATGGTACTTTAAGAAATATACCCTTCTTCGGGGCCAGGTAGATTATAGGTTCTGTAATGGATATTCGTTTTCCATAAGTATGTTTGTCATAAATTTCCGCTCACCATCTATTTTATAAGATGTACGAATACGTTGGATTTTATTGAATAAGAATCTTACTCAGCCTGTCTTGTATTTCATTAGAAACTCAAGTACTGTCCTGTCCAAGTAGGCTTTTTATAGATTGATCGTCTGATAGATCCATCTTCTCTCCAACACAGGAGTATATCAAGAAATGGAAGTTGATATCATTTTCTTCCTCATACGTTAGGCTGATATGATCTTTTACGGTATAGGGCCCACGGCATCCTCATATGTGTCACATATAACAATGTCATAAACATACCTTCTATAGAATGTGACATGACTGATTAGATCCTAAGCCATTAGTTCAATATGTGACATATATACATCTGTTAACAACGGTCTTAATGGATTGTCTATAGCAACACCATCAATTTATCGAAAGTGAAATGAACCCTATCAGTATGTAATAAAAGTATCTCTTTCAAATATTTCGGCGAAATAATAAAGAAGGATAATTCGAGGATATATAATTGCAGAGAATGATAACTTTCTTCATATTTATTATTGTTCGAAATGTCAAAATGACTAGATGAGGAGTCTTGACTAGACAGCCAGTGTATGAGTACGATCAAACAACGGTAACGAGCGTCACGAATTCACATGGTAGTTGGGGGAAACCACACTTGTGATTGAAGTGAAATAACAATCTGATGAGCAGTCCGACGTCTCATCTCAGTTGGTAGAGCACTCGACCGCTAACTTGGTGGTCGCTGGTTCGAATCCAGTCGCGGTCTAAATTCTCTCTCCACCTTCAATCAGCACTTAGTATCAATACTAGTTTGCCAAACTACGGCTACTTTTTCTGAACCCGAAATAATCCCTATGACACTATAGTTTATCCTTTTATAAAGAAATGAGAAAGATCTTATGTGCAAAGTACAGTGTGTGATTGTATTACTCTTCAAGCCTACTTATTAACTGAGATGGGAAGACTCTGTTGAACAGTTAGTGCGATGGTGATCAACAGGCAATTATGCGTTATACATTCACACGATACAGTGGATAAGAAGTGAAGTTTAAATTAGGTTAACAGTTTGTCACTGCTGTTTAATCATGAGGGTGTTGATGGAGACTAGTTCGAATTCTGTCAACTCGCAGTTTCTGTAACTTCAGTCGTCACTGTATGTCGAAGATGCCATGGTCATCTGAGATACTTTAACCAATAAATATACATTATTATTTGACTGCATAAGATAGCCGTAGTTTGGTAGACTAGTATTTATACTGCGTGATGACTAGAGATGAAATGAAAATCTGGACAGCGACCAAATTCGAACCAGCGACCACCGAGTTACCGACCCGGTGTTCTACCAACTGAGATACGAGGTCCAACTACTGACCAGATTTTTATTTCACTTCAATCACAAGTGGAGTTTCTCCCGACTGCCATGTGAATTCGTGACAAGCGTTACTACTGCCTGATCGTACTCACACACTGACTGTCTAATCAGGAATTCTCATCTCAGTGCAAATCTAATTGAATCAGAAAGGGGAAGCATCATATTGACTACTATTTGACTATCTGAGATAGCCATAGTTTGGCAGATTAGACTTAATTTATTTTTTTGTAATCCTTATCTTATTCTGCAATACCAAGACTGATGTCAAAACCTTTTTCATATTCATTATAACTGATCCGTTTAATTTCTTTTTTCACTTTCATATATAAGTTGACTTGACAATTAAATTGTTCGAAATGTATTGAGTAAATTACATCACACATTTTTCAGATAATCTTCGTCTTCTAATAACGTTATCGAAATTTATCAAAGGGGAAAAATTGTTTCAAATCAGTATGACTGTCTCTGATATTTTTGACTGTTAACTTCCCATAGTGTATCATTTATCATTCACCTGCAAGTTGACTACAGAGAGAGAGAGAAGAATTAACATCACAAGTTTTAGTTGTTTTCCAGGTGAATTTGGTTCCAATGCATTGTTGATAACCTTAGCTCAAAACCAGCTAATTAACCGTCTTATCCTTGCATAATAATGTTTTGTGATGTCCTTATCTATCTAACTGTATGTATGTTTCCTAACTTTCTATGTTGGTCGGCTGTCTGTTTGATATCAATTTTCTACTTAAATCTCATTTGCTAAAATCAGTCTCAGCACTCAACGACATACAGGCATGCCAAACAGATTTGTCAAAAATAGTCGTTGATGGTCTCATGCCTTAATGTTTTTTTCCCTCTTCACAATTCCCCACCACCTAGTTATCTGTTTCATTTTTCAAAACCATTGTAGTATTCAGCAGAGAGTACATTACGAGGATCTGCTAGTCGATGAGAAGTGTCACACGAACTTCTAGTAATGTATACTGATAATACGTCATTTGATCGACTATAGATGATATTTCACGTGAAGTATTTTTATTCATATTGGCTGGTAGTATGCTTAGGCCCAGTGTTCTATCAACTGAGATGCGATGTCCGACTGCTCATCAGATGGTTATTTCACTTCAATCACAAGTGGAGTTTCTCCCGACTACCATGTGAATTCTTGACAAGCGTTACTATTGCTTGATCGTACTCACACACTGGCTGTCTAGTCAGGACTCCTCATCTCTTTGCAAATCTAAGTAAATTAGAAGTAGGGGTAGTATTATATTGATTATCATTCTGACTATTTTAAGATAGGTGCAGTTTTGGCGGATTAGTATCATATACACTGAATTGCTAATTTCTCAATATTTATTCATTTTCTCTCCGTCTCAATTTTGATACATATTTTTTGATAACTAGGAAAGCATTCCGTCCTAAACTTGGCACTCGTTTAGCTATACCTTGTGTGAATGATTCTACAATACGTGAATTTTTCAATTCACCAACTGTTCGTAAGGCCATTAATGTTAAAGCCAACATACCAGAGGAATGGGATGTTTGTAGTAAAGAAGTTAACGAAAACTATAAGCGTCAGTATGATGATTTATCACCACAATACACTGAACTACTTCAATCAGGTGTAAGTTAACAAACCAATTTAAATTCTTGTAAGTGGTGTTTTCTTTGTCATTCAGGTTTCTTAGTTTAGCTGGTAGAACCCTGAGTCAATTACACGGAGGCCACTGATGATAATGACTCTATCACTTCGGTTCACTTCACTTTCAGCCATCACTGAACATCAATCACACAAGTCTGTCAAATCATGGCTATCTCTCTTAGAGTAACAGAAGTAGTAAACCGACCCATTGGCTCAGTGGTAATGTGTTGGTCACGGAATCTGAAGGTCTTGGGTTCGACCCCTGGAGATCCAGGGTCACGTGTACGCACTGCTGAGGAGTCTTATACTAAGGTGAAACAGGTTCCCAATGTTCCTCCAACTGATGTCAATTCACGTTGAATACCAACTTGAAAAATATCAAATGGTCTAAATGATTATTACTATGATACTCCCCTTGTATAATTCAAGTTAGTTAGGACTGAGATGAAGAAACCTGACTGGTAAGACTTTGTGATAGTGATGAACGAATAGTTAAGTATCGTATCATGGAATCATAGTTCTAGTGATTTGAGTGAAGTTTACAAAGTGGTATTTACACAATTCATCATAGGTTAGAACCGTCCTCTACATGTGTGCCTCACGACCTAGCACATAAACAGGCACTGGATTAATTATCACATTAAATTTGTCTACATATCCCAGCCTGAACAGCTAAGAGACTTCAATCACAAAGATAAGTTTATGGTAGAAATAAGATACAAAACGCTTAGATGATAGTTTTCTACTTATATATATATATATATATATATATATATATATATATATATATATATATATATATATATATATATATATATATATCTGACTAACTATGAAATAAGTCAATCCGAAAACACACAGATTTACTTCATAGCTCTCTAATTTAAGGTACTTTCATTGTAACAGCTAAATTTACATATGGTGATTGGTGTATTGAAATCAACGCTCACGCTGGTCAGTATATTCCAAAATTATATCTGACTTTATAAACTTACACAGTGGTATTGTAACGACAAGTTGTTGATAAGTTTTCATCTAGCCTGTAGACAGGTACGTTGTTGCAGGGTGCGCTTAGGGCAGTGTGGGTTTGATGGTGGCCACAAGAATCTGGAAAAGAAAAAGGGAAGAAAAGAGAGGTGAGCCGATGACTCAGCAGGTACATAGGATGTACTTACATTTAATAATAAAAGATAACTGAAAAACTGTAGAGCTGGACAACGCAGAGATGAGGCGAAACTCTAAAATGAATGAGTAAAAGTTCAAATGCGCTACAATATGAATAGGTCGCGGGTTCGATCCCTGCTGTTGGGGTCGTGGGTGCGCACTGCTGAGGAGTCCCATACTAGGACGAAACAGCTGTCCAGTGCTCCCAGGTTTCCTTCGTTCCTCCAACTGATGTCAGTCTACGATGAATAACAACTTGAATTATGAATATCAATTTGTTTAATAAGAATTTATGAGTTTTTTCACCAGTTTCAGTACATCAAGTTTTGCATTCTACGCATAACAGATGTACTACTATTTCTAATATTTCAAGTTCATCTAATCTGTTTAGCATTTCTTACAAGATAAGCATTGAAATAAGGTGAATAGAAAGTGTTCTGTCTTCAAGTATCAGGCCGTTGAGTGGAACCCAGATGGGAAACGACTAGTTGGGAGTCCGAGGCGAGAGCGACGTGGAGGAGATTGTGTGAGGAAGAAATGACAGCTTCTGGGTAGTCATGGAGACAGGTTCAAGATATTTCAGAGAACAGAGTGCACTGAAGACGTGCTACTGAAGCCGTTTGTTTCACTAGGAATCCAAGGGACACATAATAAAATAAAATAACAAGATAAGCATTGAAATAAGGTGAACAAAAAGTGTTCTCTCTTCAACTATGCACTGTTTGAGAATACAAAGTGTAATCACAAATCATAAGAATCATCTTAACAGTCTACTAGTCAAAACCTCCTGGGTAATAAAAAGTTGTGAAATTAATGCTTAGTAGTATGAGCCTCTCAAATTTTTTGTTTATCTTCTATTCATATAATCTGAAGAATTGATATCTAATCTCATGTTGTTACCTTTATCAAATTTATCATAACGTCACAACTCTCTATTCTCTACTTTAGACCATTGAACATTTAATCCCAATGCAGCTCAAATTTGAATTAGCTGACTATTAAGATGATTAGATTGAATAAATTGGTTAATTAAATTTGATTAATACTTGTGGATGAAAATTGTTGCAATGATTACATTCCACTAACATATATCTAAGTAATGTATAATTATTTAGATATACCTTTGAGTAGAAACAAATAAATATTCATTGATTGATATTAGATGGTTGTAGGTAACGGACAGGAAATCTTGTGCTTCTTACCAATCATCAGTGAAATCCATCTCCAGCTTCAGGAAATCTGATTTATCTCACACACAGCTGCAATCCGACACTGTAAAGTTGGATTATTCGAATTCCTTTGAAAAGGGAAGATTAAAATCATAGTCAATATATATATATATATATATATATATATATATATATATATATATATATATATATATATATATATCTGTGATGAGGATTACTGACTATGAGATATGATAGGAGACATCATACTTCTGTTTGTCAATGAATTTCATTCATGTACACAGATATGATATGTACATAAAATTTGACTTGAAAGCTGCTTCCTATAGTTTTCGTCAATAATACACTAAGAAAGAGTTTTGTTAATGTTTTCACATTCGATGGTGATAGAATTAACTACCTCACATCAAAAATATTAAAAAATTTGTATTCCTCATCTGTTTTGTTTCATCTACCATATTCGCTTAATGCATTTTTCTTTTTGTTTTGTTTTCAAACATTGAAATTTGTCGACAGATACATGTTTTAATCTATAATGGGGATGTTGATATGGCATGCAATTATATCGGTGATGAATGGTTTGTGGATAATTTGAATCTTCCAGTAAGTCCATATGTACTTTCATTATTATTATTATTATTATGACTAGTAGTAGTAGTAGTAGTAGTAGTAGTAGTAGTAGTAGTAGTAGTAGTAGTAGTGTGAATAGTAGTAGTGGTAGTAGTACGAGTAATTTTGCATATTACACAAAAATGATTTGTATAACATTCAACTGCATCTGTTGTAAGTAATAACTGTTTGGTCAAGACTGGATGCAGTCACTCAGGTGTATAGACATATACTGCCAACGTGATTCGCAGCATTTAATAACCTCAATACAGTTTAGCGCTGCTGAGCACATCAGTGTATTCTCATTGCATTCAGTGCTTCTTTTACAATTATAGTAATATAAATCACCCAGACTTGGAAAACATCGAGATACTGTCTAATACTCACTGTTTACTCAACCAACATATACTAACTGGTGGTGATCAGACTCATTGTCCACTTTGTCAACTTGGTTGCAAGCATTTTCTAACATTGTCATCCACATGATCCTTCACATATACATGTATACAAAAAGGAACAGAATTTCACGCCACATCTCTCTCTTCTCTCATCGGTCTACAACATCTTTTGCAAAAAATAGTCAAGATTCTGTGCTGTGATAGTGTAGTTATGAACACAATCGACTACTTACTTCATCTGACATTCACCATATATCATTGAGTAACTTTAAATTAGCCTACATCTAATCCTCCAGTTGACAACTGATTCTATTCAACTCGTTAACTGACTGAATCTGCTTTACCAAAGTCATCGATATTACGAACACGATGTAATGTCAGCTGTCATATCCTACCTATCAACGACACAACAATATTCTCGTTTTCCACTTGAATTTGTGTACGAGAAGACTAGAACTATTGAGTGGAAAACCTACATGAACCTGTGACATTAGATGAGAGAGAAGCACAGTAGTTTGTGAACCAGCAAACAAACAGGGTTACACTTCTGTGAAACTCCATTGACTAAGGAAATAAACAAGGAAACTCGATCATTTATTTCATCTATAATGGATGAAACATGCTGAACAAGAGATTGCTAACAATTAGCACACAAATACTATCCATTTCAAATATATATATGTTCATCAGTCAGTCTGCTCTACGATGTTGACAATTACACTGACTAAACACACAATTAATTACTCAAACAATCAGGATTTCCAAAGCTTCATTGCATGATTTCATGAGATATATGAGTAATGATGTATGCACATACATTTCGCGAACATGTATAATATGTCTTGTCAGACTACGGAGAACTTCACTCTCCTTGTCCACGTGTATGCCTCAACCTCATCACTCAATGTCAGAGGTGTGTGATAAGGTGATGAAGCACAACAATTCACATTGATTATCATCAGTCAGTGTAATTTGATTGTTCTAATTGAAATTGACTGCTGTTCATTCTCTTTCCATTCATCATGGAAATCAGATTGAAAATACTCGACAACACTGGTTATATACACAAGTTGATGGAACTGATCAAATAGGTGGATACTGGAAATCTTACAAGTTGAACAAAACTTTACTGTTCTATACCACAGTGCATGGATCAGGTCATATGGTGCCAAAGGAAAAACCAATTGCTGCTTATCAAATGATGTCTAAATTTACTCAAAGTGTGGATACCTTCCAACTTTAACTGGTTCTTCATTCCTCTTCTTTTGCATTTTCCAATAACTTGCCGATTCATTTTTCACCTCTAAATAAATAAAATTTGTATGAATAGTCAACAGACTTTTAATTCTTGTCAACATCTTGGTTAGGAGCAGTGTGGATCTATACTGGAACCGAAATATTTAGTGCATTCATAGAGAAGCATATTTAATACAAAATGTTGTCAGAAGTGTTAGTGTAGATCACTGACTGCCTTAAACTGCTTAGATCAACACACGATATCAGTTTGTGAAAGCACAGACTATTGACCTGAGTAGTGAGTAGTGAGTAGTAGAGGAACGTAGGTCTGCTGTATGTGACGCATCAAGTCTCCAGAAGTGTGGACAGAATGGTGATTGGTGGTTGACAATGTCACTGACTCATTCAGACTTCATCAGCCTTCACATATATAGCAGTCCCCATTCCTACTTTGAATGCATCACTCTACTCATAACTCCTTATCTTTCAATTTGTGTAAAAGTGTTCAAAAGTCTGATAGATTTTCTTACATCTCCTTTGTGTAACTTTCTACAACATACTGTAGTAGTTTGCCCACATGTGTCAAGCTTCAATTTTCCAGCATACCACTTCACAGCGTTATCGAAATCTTCAGTGAAGAAGCCTCAATCTAGTGTTACATTAGTGAATACATGAATAAGAAATTTCATGGAATAGTTGATTGGTCATACAATAGAACAAGAACGAGTTTGATGTTATTCAGTAGTGAGTACACACCGAGTTCTATTGATCATTTTGGATTGTGGTGACTAAGCTAGTGTGCCCACCATTGTGTTACACTTTGATGGATGTTAATCAGTTGGAGGCAATCTATAGGTTCTGTGCTTATTAGGACTGAGCTGTAAGGCGTATCTGTACCCTACAGAGAACAGATGTCATATGTAGCCAAGGGGCACAGCAATGGTGAGCCGTCTACACTGATCACCTGCCTGATTAACAAATGATCAATCGAATTCATTCAGCATTCACGAATAGATGACATGAAATTCATCACTCCACAGTAACCAATCAGTGTATTACATCTGAGCTTCAACTGTATTCTTTCGTCTGTTACATCAAAAACTCATTTAAAGTTTCAATAAATTTATTGTTAATTAAACGAATAAACAATGAATCAAATTTCATGCATATTTGTAGTTGAGTATCTAAATACCAGTGTGAAGTAATCATCTTACTATCATTTCAATTTTGACATTCAGATAATGAACATTTGAGACGAAAAGATGGATCTGATTTCAATTAGCTTATCAATAATGAATTCAGATTAGTGTACTTTATTCAATATTTACTCTACTAAGAAGACCATTCAGGTACATCATGCGCCAGGACAGGCACTCGAGTGAAACCCATATGGGATACGGTGACTTGGGCGTCCAAGGTGACGATCACATGGAGGAGATGATGTAAGTAATAAGTGAAAGCTAGTGGGCAGTGCTGGAGTCAGGTTGAGAAGATTGTAGAGGAGAGAGTGGAATGGAGACGTGCTACTGAAGCCGTATATTCCACTACAAACCCAAGCGATAAACAACAATATTATCATAAAGGTGAAATATTGTAAAATTGTGAGTGGATTAGTGATGTGGGCGCATAACAATCACAGCTTGCCAACGCACAAAGACTGACTGACACATGACACTTACATAGGCACAGCATATTCAACACTTTACTCAGTGAAAGTTTTACCCCTTCAGCCTGACAAATTACACAGTGGAGTTGATCAGTCTAATTCCATACACGCCTTACTTCTGTTGCAAATTATGAATTACATAGCAGTAGACTACAACAAGTATGCCTTTCACCATTCAACACTCATCAGCCATATGCGCATCTACACACAAGTCAGTCTGAGTGTTTCCAGTGTGATGAGTACTAGACACAAGTTTCAGTGAACACATTAATCCAGTCAAAACACTATCACACACTACAAGCCTACTACATCCAGTTAATCAGCAACAAATAAGGTGAAGATAGTATCATGATATACTTCAAAACTGATAACCAGTACAAATTTAACCCGTTGATTTATCTGTGAAAGCAAATGAACTAAATTGTTGCATGTATTCATTCATTTATTAATTTCTATAACTGAATTCATACATTTCATTTCAAGAGATGAAGAAAGTTAATACGTGGTGATCAACATGTGAATTCCATCTGAACACCGTAGAACGTGAACACGCAGATCATATTGAGAAGATTGTTTGTCCTGTGATGCCTTAAAGCTCAACAGTATTTATCGACAGCATACACCTAACTGTTTCATCATATCTTAAGAACTCAGTGAACACATGAACATTAATACACTTTTCACAATATTCCATCTTCTTGACAAGCCATGAAAATATGTCGGCAGTCATATGACCCAAGCTGAAGCATGCATAGATTGAAGTAAGCCACTTCATTTGTCCTTACATTGGATATGAATTGATAATTCTCACTATGACATCAAAACCAAGATATTCGTTGAGGATGGATGTGAAAACATGATGTAGGCAATGAAGAAATCAACGATTAGTTAAGATAAATGGGAGAGGTTAATTCGGATAAAATGAAAATGTTTCGTTGAAGGTTGCAATGAATGGAGAGACTAATTGAAATGATATTGGAAACTGTTATTCACTGTCAAATTAGTCATACTGATACTGATACTGACAACAATGGAATACAAAGGGTGATGTAGCTAGGGTGGGATGACGAAAGAACAGAACGAAGAATTCTGGCGTAAGATGAAGCTGACGTCAGGACAGAGAGAGACAAAGACTGTACGAAGCTCGTTTGCTCACAATGACCAGGTTTCAGTGGATGGATAGTCAACTCCTCTACTGACGTTTGCATGAGTTAAGCGGACACACACAAATGTCGCACACATAATTTGATGCAACATAATCATTCAGTGATCACTTGAATACTCAACCTCAACCACCTCTCATACACACAGAAACGACAACTTCCAACCAGACATTCTCAAACATAATGACAGTGACTGCACCACGAAAACACAACACAACTCACAGAAAGCAACATGGTGAAGAGAAACAAGGTGGTGGGCTCACATCAGACATACTTCAATTCAAACGTAAGAGTAGTCTTAGTGTAGGAGAATAATTGAGTAAAATTAAGTCAGATACGTGAATCAAGTTGAATTTAGGTTGAACAATTCAAATCGAGATTCGATGTTCAATACATCGAAAAGTCTATCCGTTCACATTTCAGTTATTTATCTTGAAGTACTACTTGTGATATGGTTACATGACACTCAGGCAATGCTTGAGTCCACTAGACAGAAGAAAGTAGTGACGTTGATTGGTAATTTCTATATCAGCTGAAAATCGATTGAATCAACAGTGGCCACTATCCCACAGATCACACGGGCATGGTAGGATCTCAATGGGAAAAGCGTCCCACTTGTGTATCTCATTGGGTCATTGTGATATGCAAGTCGAAGCACTGTGTCAAGGTAGTGACCATCGGTCAGGTGTCTGGTTGTTAAGAGAAAACTTCGAGATTACACGAATCTCACTCACAATTAGTCGATTAGAATTCCGATGTTCAAGGTATATAATCTTATCAAAAACCAGAACGAAACTATGCATAGTACTGAGAACAGCAAGAAGTTGACAGAAGATGGAGATAGTAGTGATAATCTCTCACGATTGGTGAAAACAATATGAGTAATAGATGACATAATTAGGCAATATGAGTATGACACAGTTCAAAAGGTAGTGCACATACAGGCCTAAAATACAATGCCATATCGTTATGTAGATTGTCTGTTATTCTGTCACTTGTGAACAGTACCAGATTTGATGCTACCTCGAAGCTGTCAGTTTCCACCGACAACACAATATACAAACTATTTTAGTTGGATCACGTACATGGTCTGTCAGTCTGTTTAGAGGCTGAGCTACAACATCAATTTATGAGAAAGTCAATGTAGGTCACATTATTTAGAGGACGAAGTAGAGGAATGATGATGAATGAGATATTAGGTGAAAACGATCCCACATATGTGGGTGGTGTAAGTATCAAAATATAATGATGACAATGATGAGTGCTATACTGGTCGGATGTTTGGAAGGTAATTCATTACATGTATATGTAGTCAGCAGATAACTATGCATACACAGAGATGACAGTTATTCACACTGACTTGTTCTCTGAGCTGATGTTTTGATTGACAAGCGTTTCAGTGTGATATATTAGACACCACACAGAATCTGTGGACCACAACTTCACAATGAAGTAACATGATTGGATGTAGTAACTTTCCCAAGTGAAAGCTGACTGATGGTTTGATGAGCTTCTAATTGTGTTCTGAAAAATCACTGGTTGACATTCTTCAACCAGTTTTCTCCTATGGGTTTGCAAGTATGTTGTTATCGGTTGACTTATTTTGTTTGAATGCATGATGTGAATGTTAATTCTTTGCCGGAATAATCTGACATTTTGCTAATATTGGTGATATGACTACATGACGTTTAAGGCAATATTTTAGTTCACTTGACAGCTAAAAAACGATTTAATTAATCCCGGCTAGATATTAGAAAGGGTAATACAGAGAATAGTGATAGTCATGAAAGTGAATTACATAATTTCAGCCCTTGTTGAGAGAAGTAACTTACGAAGTGTATGCTAACTTTCAATCTTTGTCGTTTTTCGAGATTTGTATCGATGAACCACACTGATTTAGATGCCAGACCGCTTTCCACTTATCTTTTTAACGCATAACTCATCCACGAATGTAGTCCGCTATATTGTTTATAATCTTTTGTTTATTAACAACTTATTTTGAAGATGTCATACTAGGCCACATCGTTCTCATTCTTTTTAGCTGAATTGTTTGTAAGCAGCTTAAAGTGTTCAGTATTCACTTCCTTCTTTTTCTTAGAATACTCGAATAAATATTTGTATCAAATACATTTGACTGCTCCACACCCATCATCATACACTACCATCCGATGATGAAAG